TCTCCTGAGAATTTCAAATGCCCCAATATATTTAATCTTTAGGAGCAGGGCTCTCTAAAACATCACAGAAAATCACATTGTCCCCTAGGACACAGGCACAAACTGTCTATCCCATGGGGAAGTGCTGCTGTTTGTCCAGGTGACTCTATTCAGCCCCAATGGCATAAGTGCAAATTGTTCGTCCCATGGGGAAGTACTGCCATTTGGCCTTTAACACTGGTTGGGGTTACTTAGAAATTCTGTCATCAGTCAGAAAGTATTTAATGAGGACCTCCCTTATTCTGGGCACTGTGTTAGGCACTGTGAGGATGCACAAGAAATATAAGGCCATACCTGCCCTCAAGGTACTTATAGTCTAGTAGAGGAGATTAAACTAAGACTCATAAAATTTTATCAGATGAGATAATGCATGGGACAGTAGAAAGAACATCACATTTGGAGTGGGGAGTCCTGCATTTAAATTCCTTCCTCATCATTTCAATTCAATAAACATCAAATATTAGGTGCTAGTGATAAAAAGGCATACTGCCCTTGTCCTTAAGGATCTCTTTCTACTAGTAGGTATAATATGTATGTGGATAATGCAACAAAATATAACAAATACAACAAAATTTGAGGAGAGTGAGAATTCTTATTGATGTGGGGGTTGGAGGAATCTCAAGGCACCAAGGCTTCATGGAAAAAGAAACATTAGATCTGAGCATTGAAGGAAGAGCATGTCCTAAGAGGGAAAGATGAGGGGAGTAGGTGTGTATTTCTGGCAAGCAAAATTGCTTTTTCAATGCACTGAGGCGGAATATAGAAAGGAGAGTTTTAGAAATATAATCATGAAACTGCAGTCTGAATAAATCTCAGCAGCCATCTTGTTGGAGATAGCTGAGTGGCATAGTAGATAGAACGTTACCTGGAAACAGGAAGGCTCATCTTCCTGAATTCAAATCTGGCTTCAGACATTAGTTGTGTGACCCTGGGCAAGTCATTTAACCCTGTTTGTCTCAGTTTCCTCATCTATAATGTGAACTAGAGAAGGAAATGGCAAACCATTCCAATATCTTTGTCAAGAAAACCCCAAATGAGGTCAAGAAGAGTTTGCTATGACTGAAACATGACTGAACAACGGGAGCCATCCTGTTTAACCTGTATCCCCAATAGAAACTTTTCTGAAAGATATGTGTTGAGTGGTTATTCAGCCATTTTTTGATTACCTTCATTGAGTAGAAATCCAACATATCTCCCTTCTCCCTCACCCCTAAGGTAACCCAGTCCATTTTTTTTAGCTTGATTGTTAAGAAGTTTTGTTTTATTTTTTTTTAAATCTATATCCAGTCTATGTTTCTCTTTTTGTACCCTTCATTCACTGCTCCTACTTTTGCTTTTGAGTTATTTATTTAAATAGGAAAAATGAGATCACTCTTCCACATAATGACTTTTCATATATGGAGAAGCCCAGTTACATTTTGAAAACTGTCCTTCATTATGTAACTATATTGTTATTGCAGTGCCCAAGAAAGTGTTACCTAAGTTTAGCAGCTATACCTTAATCTAAGGGACCCTTTGATGACCCTTAAGTCCTGTCCATGCCATTATCTACTCCTTTTCAAATTGACCATGTTGTTTAATAAAAACATTGAGCAATCCGACCTGCCAACCAGAGACATGGTCCAGAGACGGCCATGTTATATTGACATATGTTGAATTAACATTTTGCCAAAACCCCTTTCGTTGTTTTAAACAAAATGTTTTTTAGTCCTGCCTCTCCCACTAGCTGTTTTCTCTACATTAAATTGCCACCTGTTCTAGTCCTTTGAGTCTAGCTTGAGCAATATAAGTGCAGAGATGTATATTATAACTCAGAGGCATGGCCTGAATTGGGTCTATGAGAGTGGGGTTATGTGAACTTTGGGCCACTGAGGTACAAATACAGAATGTATAAAATCTTAGGGTAACAGCATGAGAATGTTTGTCACCTCATTTGTCTTGTGCTTTCTCAAGGAAGGGAGCTAGGAAAACATTCTCAGGAATAGTAGGGAGTGAAGCAAAGCTTTACATGGAAATTGGTCCCCTTGGCTGGTTCCCAAATGTTTTGCAGTTTGGATCAATCGAGGTGTTTGCTTTGATAGCTGGTGATTTGAGCCTTTCTTGGTTGAAATGTTCATTTTGTTCCAAGAGACATTGTCTCAGAAAAAAGACCCTTTAAAGTTCACTGATCGTACAACATGGGCTGGTTTAGTTTACTTGGAGTTGCCTTGCTCACCTGCAGGTTCAATATAAGCTTACCATTAGGAAAATCAATAGCAGTAATGGGGCATGGATTCTATACAGGCTGGCCAGTAAGAAATACTATGGAAGGGATGTAGATATAGTTGAGGACATTCTCTGAACCCTGTGGAAGCTCACCCTTCAAAGACAGAAGTGTTGGGAAATCTCACTCCTGTACCTCAGACAGCACAATCAAGAACCTGAAGAAGACAGACAACCAAAGAAAACTCTAGCCAAAACTTTAATATGAGGTACCGTCTCCTGGACCTCTCTCTCTCAGTTTCTGACAACCTGTGAAGAAAACTGAAGGTCCTTTTATGTCTCTTCCTTAGGCCTAAAGTAGAGCTAATCTTAAATAATTACAACCCAAGGACAGCTAGGTGGTGCAGTGGATAGAGCACTGATCCTGGAGTCAGGAGGACCTGAGTTTAAATCCAGCTTCAGAGACACTTACTAGCTATGTGACCCTGACAAGTCACTTAATTTCAATTACGTCCAAAAAAGAAGAAGAAGAAGAAGAAGAAGAAGAAGAAGAAGTTGAATCCCTGCTTGCTGTCCTCTTGGTCCATGCTCTAAAAAACTGTGGGGAACCTGCAGCCTGAAGGCCACATGTGGCCCTCTAGGTCCTCAAGTGTGGCCTTTTGACTAAATCCGAACTTCACAGAACAAATCCCCTTAATAGACTATCTAAACCCTTTACCTCTTCAGAACCAAAAGAATTTTCTAGACAAAAGGCACTGTCCAGCCTAAGGGTTATAATGCCTCCACATTATACCCCAAGCCAAATACCCCTGAGTCAAATGGTATACCTTCTTCTTGGTCCAAGAGTTGTTCTCAGACCAGAGTTCTGCCAAAACCTTCAGTCCCCTCCCAAAAATCTCCCTTTTAGGAACAAGTACTTCACCTCTTCCACCCCAGATGATGTCTACCTTTTCTAGAATCATTTTAGCTTGCCTAGTTTGGTAATATCTTCCCTTCAAAAAAAAATAAAAAAGGTTACACTCCCTAGTTTTGTAATATCTATACCCAAAGTGTGTTTGTTGGGGGGAGGGGTGCAGGTAGAACATGGAAGGAAAACTTTGTCCTTTGTCTACTCACTATGTGCTTTCCTATCCCTGATTTACCACTAATGTGATTACCTCTTTCTATACTGTTTAATTTCCATCCACATATGTATGCATGCATGCATCCATCCATATAGAGAGAGAGACAGGATCTCCCACTCCTGGTCAGGCTAAATGTATAGCCACCATTCATAAGACCCATCCCACTGCTGATCCACACTGTCCCAGACACTTTGATCTACCCTATTTCTGATGGGCTCATTTACCCCTTCTTAGGCATCCTGGTCACCCCTTACTCCTGGTGCTGGACATAGTGCAGACACTTGATTCGCTTTAGCTCACTGAACTCAAGCCATGCGCCGTCCTCAGCCTCCCCATTAATAGGGATTACAGGTGTGCACTATTCCTGACCTCAATTCATTTTAACAAACATTTCTCTCAACTTAGGGAAGATTCTCTTCTAACTTCTTGAAGAGACAGCTTCTTAGCACCCCACCCACAGTGTCTCCTCCCCTTGTACCTATATGCTGCAGTTCTAAGAGAAGCCTTTAGAATAGATGGAATAGAACCTCAAGGTTCAAGGAGGAGGTTGCTGGCTTCCTTCTCCCCTGTTTTAGTGACCCTCAGTGGCATTTCTCTGGTGTCCCCCAACTTCCAGCATGTGTCCTTGATGGTTCTTTTCCTTTCCATAAATTAAAAATCAAAAAAAAAATAACAAAGGGAAGAGAAATGGTTGGAATTTATAGAAGATGCATTTAAATAAGACATTTTTATTTTTCTTTGGATACATTAAAGCCTTAAAAATAAGCAAAAAAAAAGAAATTAATGTAATGTTAACAATGTGTATTGTAGAATATTCTAGAGGATATTAAGGTCAGGAAGTAATTACAAGTAAATAAAACTAACCAGGGAAGGTTTCTTGGAGGAGTAAACAACCTCTCTCTTCATGATAAGTAAGATTTTACAGGAGCCAAGATATGTACATTGTCAGAGAAGAGGGTAGCTGGCAAATGTCTGATGTACAATTGGATTTGAGAATTGTATTAAGGAGTGCATGTGGGGGCGGTGTAGAAGAGGGAAGAGGAGGACTGAAGTCAGCATCTTTCTTTAAGAAGAATGAATACTCAGTTGTCCTGCAATGACAGAATCATTGTATTCATTCAACAGCCATCATTCAACAAGCATCTTTTAAGCACCTACTCTTTGCCAGATACTACACAAGGACAAAAATAAAATGGTTAGTTTCTCTTAAGGACCTTACATACATGTGTGTGTGTGTGTGTGTGTGTGTGTGTGTGTGTATACATATATACGTATATGTATTTATGTATACATACATTCATATACATATATATATATTTAGAAGGGGCCACATGAGCATAGAAAATTAAATACAAGATATTTTCAAAGTAATGTTTGAGGAAGGACACTTGAGAGGGGAGGAGATCAGGGTATGTGTCTTTAAGAGATGGCACTTCTCATTGTCTAGCCTGGTAGGCTCAATTAACTGTCTCCAACTCTTCCATCCTTATTTCCCTGTGCTGCCTTATGCAAACCCTAAAACTCAGCCAAAGGAGTCTCACTTAAACATTATACTCATTGATGGATTGAACTGGTGTTTCAACTTGTGATCGCTTGCAGGTTTGCCCAACTGAGGATTCTTTCTCTTCTCTCTAGTTATACAGCTCTGCAGAATTTGGGAGAAGATGGCAACTTCTCCAGGAAGGAGTCGTCCCAAACAGATTCTACTGGTAAGAACGTGACAATCTTTCATATTCTATACTGAGAAAACAGCCCAAGTGACCCTGGATTGGGCCACCATATTTTTGTTACTCATTAATTGCTCTAAAGGGAGCTACTGGTTTGATGAATGGCCTGGTTTTTCCATCCGGGATGGTATTCAGTCACATTAGGGAGAAGCAAAGTCTGTTTGGAATTTTTAAATTTTACTTCAAGTCTCTAAGCAAGCCCAAATGATGCTTTTTATGTGCATTCACAATTTATTTAGCCACTATTTATTTAACCATGTACTGTGTGCCATGAACTGTGCTAGAATCCCTAGTTTCTTGGAAGATTCAATTCAAGTGCTAGCTCCTCCATTAGACACCTTCAAGTTGATAATACTTTCCCCCAAATTCTTTGCATTTATTTTGTGTATTTAAAAATTTATTTATCTGAATATATTATATATCTCCCATCAGAAATGGGAAGACATAAATGAAACTCTTTGCACCTTTAAAGTGCTATATAAATATTTACTACTACTACTACTACTATTATTATTATTACTATTTTGATTATTAGGAATATTATATTAAATTTAAACTTTTTTGACTGGCATGAAGATGGCTAAGTAGAAAGGACTGTGGTATTAACAATGAAAGGAAGCTCCTTGAGGGCAGGGACTGTTTGATTTTTTTTCTTTGTCTCTCAGGTGTCTAAAACATAGGGAGTGCTCAATAAATACTTGTTGATTTGAATAAAATGGAATGAAATCTCTAGACAGTGAGAGAGATACAGAAATAATTAAGATCTAGTCCCTTCTCTCCTGGAGCTCATGATCTAGAAGGGGCATTATAAGACATATACACATGACGTAATACTACGTAACAGTAGTATAAAATAGAATAGAATATGGGTAGAAATTTTAGTGCTGAGTGATTGAGGCAAGAAAGGGAAGGCCAGGAAACCTTTGTATCCAACCTATCAATCAGAAAAGTAAAGTTCATACAAGCTCATCTTTTCCCCTTTTCTTCCTTCCTTTCCCCTTTCCTCTGCTCCTTTTCCTTTATCATTTTTTGTCAGGCTTATGAACTTGACTCCAGAAAGGCATTTCTGAAGTGTCCTCTTAAATTGGAACACACCTTTAGCTGTCAGCTTAGAACAAATCTTTTAAATATCGCTTTTCACAGTAGCCTGTGTTCATTGTCAGAGGAGGCTCACTTGGGGGTAGCTGTTCTCAACAGTAGATTGTAGCTGGGCCATAGAAAAGTCCCTCTCCATTCTCTTAAGAATGAACACACCAAAGCAAAGCAAACATGCTGTTCATTTGTCTACACATGTGTCTCAGGATGTATGTATGATACAGCACCTATCACTAGAAGCCTGCCATTCCCCTACTGCACACTCTTAGACACATCCAAGAGAAATACATTTTTATCTCTCTCATTTTCAAATGCTACACTAAAATCCCTTTGGGAATTGAAAGCTAGAGAACTGCATTAGAGAAACTGTTAAAACTACAGATGCCTCCTGAAAAGGCAGCCCATTTGGAGACAAGCCTGGTGAGATATAGCGACCTATATTCCTGTAAAGCTGGCCCTTTGTTTTCATTACTAGGGAACATGAACACTTAAAAGGGGGTTTCTGTAACTTGAAAGTTTATCCATCTTTCCTCTGCTACTGCCCAGATCTATCTGGTACCATTTTTAAAGATCAGATCAAATAAAGTCTCTTCTATCAGGGTAGGTATCTTTAGCCCACACTGACCTCCTTTGCTCTCAAGCCTGTAGCATTTAGTGTCTGTGTTAATGTACGACACTGCCTTGAAGTGATACATGGCAGTTTCAAGTCCCTGGATTTGTTTTTTTTTTTTTCTCCTAAATAAATTTCTTTATTTTTATACTCCTTTAGTGCCTAGAACAGTGCTATGATTGATATTAATAGCTCACATTTTTATATCAAGTAAAGTTTTCTAAGGAGCTTTATATATATTTTCTTTCTTTTTTTCTGATCCTTAAAGCCTGGTACCGTCAAAAGAATAATGATTATTATTATTCTATTTTTTTTTGAAGCAAACAGTACTAAGTGACTTGCCCAGGGTTACAGAGCTAGTAAGTGTCTGAGGCTGGATTTGAACTCAGGTCTTTCTGACTCCAGGTCTGGTGCTCTGTCCACTGCACCACCTACCTTCCCCAAGAACAATGATTTTTACACCAGAGGATTTGGGCTCAAGTCCTGCCTCTGACACTTTACCTGTGTGACTGTGGACAAATCTCTTAACCTTCCTTGGCTTTAGTTTTCTTATCTATAAAAATGAAGGCATTGTGCTAGAGGGCCTCTGAGGTCTTTTAGATCTATAAGAAGGTTGATACTATTTTAATACCCATTTAATAGATAAGAAAACTAAAAGTCAGAGGAGTTGTGCCTTGCCAAAGGACAAATAGCTAAGTGTCTGAGGTGATAGTTGAACCCAGGTTTTCCTGACTTAAAGCCTAGCATTCTATCTACTATGTCATGCTAACTGGGTGTACTCATGCATACATGCATATGTGCATATGTGTATGTATACATGCCTCTATATGTAGCCCTGAAATAGGTTTGTAAAGTTTCTGAAGATTAAATTAAAAAGTAAGCATCCTAATATTCATATCATATCTAGCCCCTATTCAAATTCTACACCATCTTGGCTACAATATGCTCACTTAGTTTAGAAATACAGGTCTCAATTTGGAACTCATGGAAATTTAGAGTAGACTTTGGCTGAAATTTATCTCTGCCTTGTTAGTAAGAAAGGAGATTTTTAATGCCCATGAACATCGAAACAAAATTTGAAGGCAGTGTTTTACTATACTCAGTGTACAAAATATTTTCAAGCACTTACCTATTAAAAGTGTTTTGTAAACCCTAAAATGCTATAGAAATTCTAGTTATTGTTATCATTATCATGTAAATAGTGCACTCGTAAAGTGAGCGGGAGCAATATTGCCTAGAATGGTGCTAATTTGAAATTTTTCATGTCTAGTCTTTGAAATAGGGCATCTACCAAGTAACACTAGATTTGCCTCGTTCTCATTGCTAGGCATACCCGAAAATAACACAGTTCTTGTTTTCTGTGAGAATATTCCATAGTTCAGACTTTCGACTCTTTCTGAATGCGCTGTCTCCCAGTGAATTAGTGAATTTGGATAGCAAAGCTAAAATTGAAATTTGAAAATCAGAGGGGTCATTATTCTTCCAAGACCTTTGAGAACTGTTGACAATGCTCACATATTTACTTTTCATTCCTCACCACTTCCAAGAAAACTGTCACTCGCTGGAGAAAGGAGTAGAGGATGAGGTTTGTCCCTCCATATTGGGGATCATTTCCATAGTTCCTGCCAGCTCATAGTTATTTGTTTCTAGTCACTCTGACTTCCTACTATTAAAATTGTGAATTAGTGAAGCCTGACTGATCACTCTGAGAGGAAGGGTAGGTAAATCGCTGGTTTCTACATTGAACTAGGTATCTCTACTCACACAGAGGGGCATGTGAAGGAGGAGAAAGTAAGCTTGCATCACAGCATCTCTTGGTGGAAGATATCTAGCCTGACTTTGCACATAGTTCCAGAAGCTCCTGATTTAAGTTTGCCCAGCTTCTTACTGGCCTCAATTCTTGAGGTGGCTTAAGCTTTTGTAAGCAGCACAGCATTATTGTTGTTGTTGTTGTTGATGATGATGATGAAAATAACAAGATCTTCCAATACTCTCACATTTTAAAAAAATATCTATTTTAAGTATTCTTTTCTTTTTAAATTTTAAATTCAAAATTCTCTCTCTCCCACTCCTCCCCCATCCATTGAGAAGACAAGCATTATGACATGAATTATACATGTGAAATCATAAAAAAACATATTTCCATATTAGCCATATTGCAAAAAAACAAAAAAGAAAAAAAATATACTTCCCTTAGTTCTCAGAGTTTATCAGTTCTCTCTTAGGAGGCAGATAGCATTTTTTCATCATGAGTCCTTTGGAATTGTCTTGGATCATTTTATTGATCAGATTAGCCAAGTCTTTCACAATCAATCATCATTACAACATAGCTGTTGATGTGCACAATGATCTCCTGGTAATTCTCTCTTCATTTTGCAGCAGTTTGTGTAGATCTTGTCATGTTTTTAAAAAAACAACCCCCCCTCATCACTTTTTAATGTTCCATCACAATCATATGCCACAACTCATTCAGTCATTCCCCAATTGATGGGCATCCCCTAGATTTCCAAATCTTTGCTATCAGAAAAAGCTGATATAAATCTTTTTGTACATATGGGATTTTCCTTTTTAATTTATCTATTTGGGATACAGACCTAGTAGTGGTATTGCTGGGTCAAGGTGTATGCCCAGTTTTATAGCCCTTTGGGCATAGTTCCAAATTGTTCTCCAGAATAGTTGGGGCAGCTCACTGCTCCACATACAGTACATTAATGTACCTATTTTCCTTTATCCCCTCCAGCATTTGTCATTTCTAGTAAGTGTGAGGTGGTACCTCAGAGTTGTTTTAGTTCTGATAATCAATAGTGATTTAGAACCCAATACTCTTTTTAAAAATTTTGCAATGCTTAAAAATTTTTAGGCACTGACGTGAAAGGTAGAGGCAAAGCCAAATGATTAGTAATCTTCCAAAAAAAGTTGCTTCAAACTGATCAATAATTTTAAGCATAACTAGACTTATTTGGTGAGTTTACCTTTACAATGGTTTGCTTCGATGACCTTTGCATAAATCCTAATATAATATAAACTACCCTCTTGGTAAAAGCAATTGTCAATTGGCCCTCAGGAAGGATGCAGTCTCTTTCTTAGGAAATGTAGCAAAGGTGGTGCATCTCTCTCTCTCCAGTGCAAAGGCATGAGAGCTCAAAGGAATAAGTGTAATCCCATTCTACCAACCTCATTCCTACCCTTTTCCTTGCTATCTTGAGAATCATTAATAAGTCATTTGGACACCCTACCTACTCAAGAGGAAAATGGGGATTTGTGGAATAATTCAACA